AGCTGCATTGTGTCCTGGCTCATCTGCTTTGCACTGGGAAGTGGCAGCACTGACCCCCACCTCAGTCTGACCCCATGGGTCCGGAGCAGGAATGTTTGCTCCGGATTTTGCGCTTAGATCCGAGGCCAGTTCCCTCGACTCTCACACTGCCTCCCATTCTTCACGGGGCAGTCATTTCCCTTCGGGGCTTTGTTGCTGCATCTTTAAAAGTCTTCACTTCTCTTTTGTGAGAACAGTTGAGTAGAGTTAATAGCTCTTTGCATAAGGGAACAGGAGAAAGGGCAGAAGTGCGAGTCTTTTAAATGTTCCTGGCATCGGGGATTGAAACTCTTTTCCCACGTTACTTGGAAACGTCCTTCTCTCTCCATCAGAGCCAGCAGAAGTAGCCATGACACAGCGAGGGAAAACCTGCTTCCAGCAAAGCTCCCACTTTGAGAGGTGGTGCATCCTCTTTTTCTTTCCCCTGGACTCTCCTGCTTACACCCCTCTTTGCAATACATGACATCTCCCCCATTCTCCCTTCACTTCTGTAACTACCTCCACTCCTGGGCCAATGCTCCTGACCTTTGCTTTCAGGTGGGGGAAACAAGGTCATTCAAGCAGGGAGAAATTAAGGTTTGCAAGGGAGAAAGATGCTTGAACAGCAGAAGAAAGGTCTGGGGCAACATCCCAAATACTTGGGAGGGGTAGCAGATGAGCCATGCACCAGGCCTGGAAGCCAAGCAGGGGGCAGAGCAGTCAGCCTGAAGGTCAGAAGTTGCCCTAGTGTTTGAGAAGCAGTAACCTACCTCCCTGCAATGATACCACAACCACAGGGAAGCTGAAACTTCCCAGCACCTCGATGAATATTGTTCAGGAAATGTTTCTCCTGCACAGCGGCCTCTCATGCAAACACCTTGCTTTCCTCCAGGAAGCAGAAGGGTCTGCTTAGCCCTGCAGTTTAATGGAAGGAAGTGAAGTGGCCTTAGCAGGCACTTCCTTACAGGGCTGAGTAAGAAGGAGCAACATTGTCCTGCTGTGTTTGGCTCCGGCGGGCGAGGATGTGGGACCTCTCTTGCTAGAGAAGGCAGGCAGCTGCTTCAGTTCCTGGCATCGAAGCCTTTACCTGAGCAGTAGGCAGCACTATGACCCGCAGTAGCAGCATCAGGCCTTTGACTTGGGAATCTTGGGAGCTGGCGACGTTTCCTAGCCTCAGCACTCCTGCTGGCACAGGTCTTGCGCTGTGATGCTGGGTGTTCCCCCATGGCGTTAATCCCAAGACTATCTCCTCATCGAAGCTCATTTGGAAACTGTAAGCATTTTCCAACATGCCTCACGTTTACTGAACATGCTTTTAAAAAGCCAGATGCTCCCAGCTGGTAACATTCACAAGGTGGAGGAAGCCGCGGGCAGAGGCAATTGAAATTTATGGCAGCAGGCAGCGCTCACCCCTGCCCGGAGCAGGAATGATCTCAGAGAGCATGTGCCTAGAAACACATATCTCCAGAGGCAGGGGACACAGTGTTTGGTTCATGAAAGAAATTGTGATGAATCGCCTTTTCTTTAAATCTGTTTATAGACCTGGTGAATCTTCTGGTTTTTGTCTCTTCCCAATCCTATTGAAGAGGTTCCTGCTGTTATAAACCCTTTGTGCTCCGTGGCAGAAATTGGCCTCTTATTGAGTTGGGAAGAAACTTCCCTGATGGGAAAGTGGATTTCCAAATGATCCACGAGGGAGTCTCCCTCATCTTCCTCTGGAGTCATAGCTTGAGACAAGAGATGGGGCTATATAGGCCCTTAAGCCTGAGCTGTGTTCCTAAGACCAGTAAAGCTGCTGGTGCGTGGGCTCTAAGACTGGTACTGGCATCCTGCAGGATGGCGTCTACTAATGCAGGTGTGTGTCGGGGGGG